GGGTGCCACGCTCGCTGAAAGTTACTACTATAAAATGGGCTGTTGGGCTGTCCTTGTCTGTTGTCTTCACTTTCTAACCACACTTTTAGCTGCAGTGCTACCTGAGACAGGTTCGCGTTTTCTTCGGAGTAATACACAGAAACAAAGTGGATTACTGGGTAGACGTGCGTGTGCCGCTACTATACACGAACTCATCTCTGTGACGTCACGGCGCGGTGGTGGCGCGTCGGTCGCACTTCCGGTCTAGGGCTGTGGGCAGAAGTCCCCATGCCAGACGTGTATTCCTGCGTTGTTTTGAAAGGAACCAGACAAAAACGTGTCTTCTCGTCAAAACGCCGCGACTGGGGCCGTACCAAAAGTGTCGAGAAAGGTTTGAAGGTCAGTTTTCACGTGCTCGGTACGTCCGAGAATCTGGATATGTGCCGTGAAAAGGGGAAAAGCAGACGCCGTCGGAACACGATTGCTTGGGCGAGAAGCATTTTGGGTTGAATTCACGGATACTTGTGGTCATCAGATTTATTTGTTTTGTTTCAACATGAACGCCAGAAAACTGTCAAGTTGTGCGGACCACCTGTGGACTACATTCAGTGCGTCTTCAAGTTCAAACGGCCGCCTGATCGTTCGAACTGTCGTCTGCTCTTTCAAACGTTTCTGCTTGTCGTCTCCTCTCTTAGACGACGCCGGTCCGTAGACCAAATGTTGGCCCGGTACTTGCGATAAGAAGTGAGTGCTGGCCTCAAAAGACTTAAATTTGAAGGTTGGTGAGCAGGCTCGATGTAAACACTAGATACAAAGAGATGTTGGTCATTGTTACCAGCGACCAACACCGACTTGTTATGCCTAATTCAGTTGGTCCGATTCTGCTTGCGATTTTCAGTATCGTCGTCGACCATCTCAGCTACGGTTCACGCTTTTGCAGCCCGAGCGGCGTCGTAACTGAAAATTCCGAGCGAAATCTCATCATGCGAATCATGCTTCAGCGTACAATCTGCGGCGTCCACGCGGAATGAATCGCCACATGTCACATTATTCACGCGAAGGTTTGCGGTGTAACGAGCCTCGGTAATTTCGCTGACGCCGCTCGAGATAGTCAGACATCGCCAGGAAGACGTAGAACCAACAATTCGAACGCGAAAAAGGGCAGGGGGACTCACAGCGACGCCGACAACATCGCATTTCAATGGTTTGTTTATGGCAGTGTTGCCAACCTATTTTTCGAAAATACCCCACGACAGCGTCCAGAAAACCCTACATTACCCTACGAATGTTTCTTATTACCCTACGTTTTACCCTACGAGGCAGATCTTTGTTTAAATAATACTGTTGCATGGATTATGATGATACAGGGTAATATTAATACCGTACAATGCGACAGGGCACGCATGCACGCGCATACCTGCGTTATTCTAGAACACCATGCTTGCATCTTGCGTGTGCGCTGTGTAGCATCAGCACAACAGTGATGTAGCGAGCGCACAGACATCCCCAACCAACATGTTTAGTCGATTTGTCATGAAATTAAAAACTGGGCTACGCGGAACAAGCACTCGCGGCGCCAGACAAGGCGGCTCATTACAAAAGGAAGCTAATCCGAACGGTATATTAGCTTCTTTGGGTGTACCGTTTAGGGATTCGTCAAACTAAGGTACTATTTCGACAACCAGGCTTTTACACCAGGGGAGGATAGGAAACCGGCGGTTCCTCCGTATTCGCTAAAATGTCATTCGATGAAACGTCATTGTTTCGGCTTCGTTCGCTAAAACGTCGTTCGCTCAAGTGAACGCCTCCAGTCTCCGGGATGCACTCACTTGATCAAATGACGCTTTAGCGAACGCCCACGTTTCACGGAATGACACTTTAGCGAACAGTCGGACGCCGCGAAGCGGCGTTTTCGGGTGGGCCAAATGGGTTCACGTTTTTGTAATGAGCCGCCGCAGACTGTCGTCGCGAAACGGCGTAAGCGCAGCGCGGCCCCCGTTATTCCCTACAACGTCGATTCGCTCAAATGTCGCTGTTCGCTAAAACATCATTCGCTCAAGCGATATGGACCCGTCCTGGTGGGCTCTGGATGGTTCCGCCTGCGGTGCCACGTGTTTCGCAGGTGTAACAAGGACCGCCGGATGGACCAGTCATCAGAAAAAAATTGGCGGGACCATTTCCACTGGGAAGATACCTCTTCTGGTTCCAAACTTCCTAAGCGCAACTCCACCTCCTCCCACCTCTCCCACTTGCTCCAGCTCTCCAATACTCTCCAACTTAGGGAGCCTACATACTCCAACTTGGTGTGTGGTGCTCTCAGTTAGCACGTCTTGCAACTTGGATTCTTTCGTTTTGCATGATGTTGTGGTGTGGCAGCACACGGGTCGTAAAGCTATGCAAACCTTGCGCGGCAACTTTTTTTTTTTTTTTTTTTTTTATGCTTGCCGTTGAAGAAGCAACATTTGAAAATACCCTACTTTTGGCGGGGAAATGGCCGGACGGTCCTACAGCCCTACAATATACCATAAATGCCTAAAATACCCTACAAGTAGGGTAATTACCCTACGGTTGGCAACACTGGTTTATGGGCGACGGCGAGCTTTTTGCCCACACCCCCATCGCGCATGCGCGGCGCCGGTGGCGTCCGCTACGGGCGCTCCGGGCGCTCCGGTTTGTTTGTAAACATGAGTTGGTGTATAGACCTTTTCCACAAGGGCGCCGCCATCTTGAATTGACGTCACTTCCAGTATGGGCGAAAACGTAACTTTGCCGTTGCCACGCCAATAGAAGACATTTAGGATATAAGCCTAACCGTCACACATTCTCGTTTTGGCTCGCATCTATTTTTTTACTAGTTACAGGTTGAAACGTTTTACTTTTTTTTCGTCGCCCATACTGGAAGTGACGACAATTCAAGATGGCGGCGCCCTTGTGGAAAAGGTCTATACACCAACTCAACTCACCTACGTCACGCCGCGGTGGTGGCGCGCCGGACGCACTTCCGCTCTGGGGCGGTGGGCAGAAGTCGCCTTGCCAGACATGCATTCCTGTGTTCCCTTGGAAGAAACGAGACAAAAAACCTGCCTTCTCGTCAAAATGCTGCGATGGGGGCTGTACCAAGAGAGTCTGGAAAGGTTTGAAGATCAGTTTTCATGTGTTTCTGCCCCCTCCGTTCGTCCGAGAACGTGGATAGCATCCGTGAAAAGGGCAAACCAGACGCTGTCGAACTACGATTGCGTGTGCGGGCCACAATTTGTGGTCGCCAGATGTATTTGCTTTGTTCCAACATGAACGAGAGAAAACCCCCAAGTTGTCCGGACCACTCACGGATTCAGTGCGTCTTCAAATTCACACGGCCGCCTGATCGTTCGAACTCTCGTCTGCTCTTTCAAAGTTGTCTGCTTTTTGTCGTCTGCTCTTTCAAACAAAAGCGGCCCGTAGACCAAACTGACCCGGTGATTGCAATAAGAAGTAATTGCAAGCCTCAAAAGACTTAAGTAGGATCGGTGTAAACAGTAGATACAAGATGTTAATTATTGGTACAGGTGGCCATCACCTACTTGTTACGCTTGGTCTGTTCCCGCTTCCGATTTTCAGTATCGACGTCGATCATCGCCGCTACCTTTTACACTTTTGCAGCACGAGCGACGTCGCGACCGAAAATAACTACAAGAATCTCATCATGGTTTTGGCGTCCATTCTGCAGCGTTCATGCGAATGAATCGCCGCACGTCAAACTATTTACGGAAAGTTTAGCGGCGTAACGAGCCTTGATAATTTCGCTCAGGCGATTGAAGTTGTAAGACCTTGCGATGAGGACGTAGAATCGACAACTCCAACGCGACAAAAGAGTATGCAGACTCGCACAGACGCCGACAACGTGACATTCGAATGGTTTGTTGACGCGGGACGCGGTGCTTCTTGCCCGTACTCCATTGCGCGTGCGTTCCAACTGTCGTCTGCTCTTTCAAACTTGGCTGCTCTTTGTCGTCAGTTCGTTCAAACGACAGCGGCCCGTAAACCAAACGTTGACCCGGTAATTGCGATAAGAACGAAGTGCAGGCCTCAAAACACTTTTGAAGGTTGGTTGGGGTAAGTCGGCTAAGTGTAAACAGATACAAGAAGTTGTTGATCATTGTTACCAGTGGTCATCACCGACTTGTAATGCCCGATTCTACTTGCGGTTTTCAGTATCGATGTTCACCATCTCAGCTACGGTCCACGCTTTTGCAGTCCGAGCGACGTCGCGACTGAAAATAGCGAGCAGAATCTCATCGTAGGAGTCAGGCTTTAGCGCCCATTCTGCGGCGTCCACGTGAAATGAATCGCCGCACGTCACATTATTCACGCAAAGTTTTGCCTCGATAGTTTAGCTGAAGCCGCTCAAGTAGTCAGACATTGTTAGGAGGACGTAGAATTAACAATTCCAACGCGAAAAAGAGCACGGGGACTCCCACCGACGCCGACAACAACGCAATTCACTGGTTTGTTTATGAGCGACGGCGGGCTTCTTGCCCACCATCCACCGCGCATGCGCGGCGCCGGTGGCGTCCGCTAGGGGCGCTCCGGTTTGTTTGTAAACATGAGTTGGTGTATAGGCTCCTTGCACTGACGTCACATCGCACACATCTGAACACCAAGTAAAAGGAGGAGAGAGAAGCTGCTTTTGTAAGAATTTTGAGCGACAGGTTAATCTTCTATAATCTTCTGGGGGGAGAATGGCGACGCCTGTGCCAATCCGGGAGGCACAAAGGAAGATCCTGATAAGAGGGGAGCTCCTTCTTTCCCTTTTCTCTGGAGGGCATCGGAAATGACGTCTTGTGCAAGGGGCCTATACCGGCACTGCCACCACGTCACTTGCATTAAACTTTATGATTTTCCAAATAGACTTTATAGTTTCGGGCTCTTGTCGAGTAAATGACATTAATTCGGCACTACAAAATTCTCCTCGATTACGTGGGTATAATAAATAAATACTGGTTACAACTGATGTAATTCTTAAGACCGGAACATATACTTACAGAAAATGATCCGTGAGCTCGGGTGGAAACTGGCAGCCCCTGATCCAGTCAAGCGAGCAGTCGCAGTGCCACGGATTCCCACGTAGGTCCAGGACATGTATGCTGCACCAGTCAAAGCCCGCAAAGGGCAGCGAGCTGAGGTTGGCGTAAGCCAAGTAGACCTCGGCCAAAGTCGTCGACTCGTTGTTGGGGCTCACATAGAAGGCGTTACCGCTGACTCTGGTTAGCAACGGATTGTTGGCCAAATCCAGTATTCTTAGTGCCGACATGCTGGAAAATGCGTTATCTTCTATGAACATTAGGTGCGGCATCGATGAAAGGTGCAGCTCTTCAATGGACGCCATACCTTCGTAGGACTTCCAGGTAAGTGTTGCAATAGGATTTTGTTCCATGTGCAAGATCTTGAGGGACTTCGCACCGCGTAGTGCTTCGGTCGGAACATCTTCGAAGTCATTGCCCGACAGCTCCAGTAGGGTCAAAACCGGTAGGAAGTGAAACACATCTTCAGGCAAAGAACTCAGCGCCAACAAGCGCAAGTCCAAATGTTCCATGTGCTTGAGGTTCGAGAACCACTGGGAATCGATCACTTTGAAACTGTTTCCCGCCAGGGATAGCTGCTTGAGCAAAGGAACTTCGTGGAAGGTCTTCGGCTGTATCGTTTCTACGAAGTTCTCGGTCAAGTTTAAAACAATAAGTTTCTCGAGGCCTTGGAAGCACTCAGGTTGCAACTCCATTATGTTGTTATGGCTCAGATCGAGAACTTCGAGAGAATTTAGTTCTGAAAAGACACCCGCCGGCAAACTGCCAATTCTGTTGTAGTGAAGATCAAGCAACTTAAGAGGCGCCTTTCGGAACACAGTGAGCTTGCTGATGCTGTTGTGGCCGGCTTCGAGACCAAGGACGGCTTTGGGTTCTGGTGGGAAGTCCGGTATCTCTGTCAAGGAGCGATTTGCGCAGTGCATGAACACATTGTTGTCTCCATCCGCGGGTGTGCACAGACAATCAGACGGTCCACACATGTCCTCGGATATTGCCGCGCCGATGGATAAGAGGAACAGCAGCAACCGCAGTAGCATTGTTGACCTTGTTATGGGGCCCTGCAAGATAAATTTCCAGTTCGAGTAAGTTTTCCTGCATTTCAACAGTCACAGACCGCTCGAGAAACGCAGGGTAGTTCTGAGCATCTAATTATCGCTAGCCAATCAGGTTGCACTATTCGGCAACACGAACAAAGTAAAAATTATCATGAAGCAGGAACATAACAACCTTCGTTTCTTAGGATGTCAACGACTATAGCGAACAACATTTGTCAGTTTACGAGTGGATGAAAAAGCAAGACGTTTATTCGGGCGAACGTTCAAGATTGTGTACTAGTACATTTTCAGCAGTCGTCCGACAATGTTTATCAGGATCGGTGACCGTATACTCACTCGGTGAGGAAAAATGAGGCCTCATTTACATAATATATGGACATAAATATAAACAGCTCACAGTACTCTTAAGGTGGTATTATATAAACACACAGGTCGAAATATGCGCAAAATGCTCCATTTTCTCTAGGCAGAAATTCAGGCTATATGCATCATATTAAAGATATGTACCATATTTACTCGAGTAATAGCCGCACTGTTTATGAAGAAAACCTTAGGGTTGGCTTTTCCGCGGTGCACGCGGATTGCCAATCACCGCGATCGACAATATGACTCCAGCGGTTCACAGGACAGAGATAAGGTTTTCGCGCGAAGATACCATCTGTGAAGATTGCATTTGTATATGCACTTTAAATAAAGCCCGTGAGTCTGCTTTCCCGCACAACACTCGGAGGGCCAATCAGCGCAACTTACGGAGGCAGCTCAGCGAATGACAATACCGAACCATATGTTTAGACCGAAAAACGCAGTCTGAGTTGTGACATTAAGCAATGCAAGCGTGACGTTTTGCATTGCTTAGTGTCACAACTCAGACTGCGTTTTTCGGTCTAAACATATAGACCGTTTTATCGTGGGTAGCGCCATTTTGAGAGCGAGAGAGAAAAGGGGAAAGCGCCGGTAGCCCTTTCCCCTTCTCTCTCTCGCCCTCTTTCAGTAAAACGGTCTATACATGGGTTGCACGTGACGTCATTCAAAAGGCGCTACGATGACCACCAAAGACGAGGGCAAGAAGGAGCTCCCCTCTTATCAGGATCTTTCTTTGTGCCTTCCGGATTTGCACAGTCGTCTTTATTCTCCTCCCAGAAGATTATGGAAGATTAACCCGTCACTCAAAATTCTTACAAAAGCAGCTTCCCTCTCCTCCTCTTACATGAAGGCCAAAAATATGCGACGCGACGTCAGTGCAACCCATGCATGGTTCGGCATTGTCATTCGCTGAGCTGCCTCCGTAAGTTGCAGTGATTGGCTCTCCGAGCCTATTTCAACGTAGCCGCTTTTAGTTGTAATCAACAAGCGATACACGAAATGGGAACCTCAATTAACTTTGAAAACGCCCGCAGCTGCTACATATCGTCTTGCTGTGCTGTTTTTATCTTTGTGTCCCTGTTCTTATATTTCCTTGTGAATGAACGACGAAGACGCTCTAGATGTACTTTTATCGAACCGCAGAAAGCCTCGAAGCAGCCACGAATTATTTTACTATTTGATGCAATATTTTTGGTACTCACCTCCAATTTTTATAGCTGGAACGTTCGCTGCCGCTGTTCCCTTCGTCGCCACGCTGGCGGATGCCATGACTCAAACAAAGAAACATGCACACTGGGCTCGAAAACGCAGATCGCAACACACGAGACGTTCCCTGCAGTGACTATCAAGCGCCTCAAAGCGCCTTAAAGCCTGTTCACACATGCAGCGGAGCGCTTCAAGCATAGCGCTAACCTCGCGCTAAGCGCGTGTTGACGGCAGCGTTCACCAGCTTTGTATCGCACCGTCTAAACTGTTGCTCATGGCAGACAATAAGTAGCTGACGGCACGTGAGAAGCGCTACATCAGCGCTTCGCTGCATGTGAGAACCGGCCTTAAGTCAACGGAAACAACCAACCAGCGGCACTCCAAGGAGCGCTTTTGCCGGCTTTTTAGTATCGCAAAAAAGATCGCAATTAAAAAAAAAAAATTAGTAGAATTACGTTTTCAACAATTTCCAGCCTCAGCCGGCGGCGTAAATGAGCCTTCAACTAAGTGTTGTAGATGATAAAATCGAGTCAGTCACCCCTGGAAATTATCACTATTAAGATAAATTTAGTTACGAAATTTTACAAGCTGAAACAACAGTTATCATGAGAAAACTCGCACGCACATTGCGAGCGTACCCCATGTTCATCGGCGGCACAGCGTTCGGTGCGCGCTCCATTCACGAAATGTTCCAAGCGAAGTCGAGAAGATGGCGTTGAGGAAACGCCTTTTCGGTTTACGGACGCAATCCACTGCCACCGGAGACAGGGGTCATGTGGAAAGCGATGGAGCTCAAAGGCATTGCAGCCGCTCTCGCCTTGCCGGATTCCTTGCAAGCTACATATGTCCTCGGACAGTATTCTATGCTTTCTGTTTTTATTCGTGCACCCTATGACCCAGCAATGATGCCCCGATGACCGGGGGACTGTTGCCATCGAAGCCTCTGGCTCTAATTAAGTTTGCGAGTTTAAAACAGAAGAAAAAGCGCGAACGAAGTGGGGGCACAGCAGACACCCAACACCGGCGTAGCCTCTCATCCCCGGGAATTTCACTCTTTCTACACAATCAGAAAGGGGGAAAGCGCCGGTAGCCCTTTCCCCTTCTCTCTCTCGCCCTCTTTCAGTAAAACGGTCTATACATGGGTTGCACGTGACGTCATTCAAAAGGCGCTACGATGACCACCAAAGACGAGGGCAAGAAGGAGCTCCCCTCTTATCAGGATCTTTCTTTGTGCCTTCCGGATTTGCACAGTCGTCTTTATTCTCCTCCCAGAAGATTATGGAAGATTAACCCGTCACTCAAAATTCTTACAAAAGCAGCTTCCCTCTCCTCCTCTTACATGAAGGCCAAAAATATGCGACGCGACGTCAGTGCAACCCATGCATGGTTCGGCATTGTCATTCGCTGAGCTGCCTCCGTAAGTTGCAGTGATTGGCTCTCCGAGTGTTGTGCGTGAAATTAGACGCACAAACATTTTTTAGAGTGATGGAGAACCTTGTTCTTGATCTGGTAATTCGCTATGTTATTTATGCTCAACGCGATGATTGGCTCTATATGTGCTTTGCGGGAAAGTAGAAACAAGGGCCTTGCTCATAAATAGTGCGCCTATTACTCGAGTAAATACGGTATGTACTGCAAAGGGATAAAGGACATCGTTGTTCGCGAAATTAAGTGCTTTTTTCCGCCCTTAGAAGTAGTACTCAAATAAAAAAAACAATAGACCGATCTCACCAAGCGTTCGGTGCATGCGTGACGGTGCCATAACATTAGTTCACAGGAGGCAAACGACAGTGCACGAGAGGGCTCGTGCTGTCTCGTGCTCCACTCGCGCAGAGCTCCAGCGGGGTTGTCGCACGTGCAGAAAGACTAACGTTCCCTCGATGCATTGCGGCAGCGGTGGCGTAGTCAAACTGGCTCGTGAGATCGGTCTATTATAAACATTGTTTGTCAAAGACTGAGTGATTAAGGAAAGACTTTGGCGGAGCATGTACGAGAGCGAACAAGATGAAGGCAGTTACGAAAAGAGACAAGATGTGAACGGGATACGCCGTGTCCTGTTGAAAAATGTCTTCCTCTCGTCCGTGTTCGTGTGGCGTAGAATTTTGGCAAAAGAAACATCTGCGTATCAAGCGTGGCCCATTAGTGTTCCTAAAAGCAAGTTAATAAGGTAGCGTTAAGCCGGAATCACACTGATCATACATCACACAAAGGACAGTCTGCGAACACAAGTCACCGCAATATCCGCGGTTCGAATGCCGCGTGCCAAGTTCTTTCCTTGAACACATTGCCATGCAGCATTCGAAGGACGAATCTCGAAGTAACTCGCGTTCGAATCTGTACGCAGACTATCTTTTGTATATGATGTATTTAAGCAGTGTTACCCCGGATTTACGGTAGCCAAGGTAACAAATAATTCGTCGTCGGTTTTATACCTTCCCACGAAAACAATCGGTAAAAATATGCAAACCAATATATGATTTAAAAGCTGCTAATTAACGTTTTATCTGACCCCGCGAGAAGCACTCGAACCCACGATCCTCAGCTGCGGCACGATGAAGATTCGTGTCCTCTCGCCGACCGATACATTCTACGACCGATAGTTCATCCTGAACACAGCTCCGGAAGACAAGGCGAAATAGTTTCCACGCGGCGGGTACTCACCACCGGTGCTCGTCACGACAACGGCAAGCTGAGACACCCAGCCAGGGCGTGTTGTGTTCGCTATCGCCGAGTGGCGATTCCAAAGTTCGAGTTTACAGCCAGCGCGAGACAAGGCCCCTGCGGCCGATACGACACTCCGACGCGCAACTGGCTCAGCAGGGCGCCTATCGGGACCAGACGGAATACGGGAGCTTATCGCGTCGCCGACCGCGCCGATCGTGACGACGGTGATGACGCCTGTCCATCGACCCGCAAACACACGCGAATGCTACGCTCTCAACGGATACTGTGAGTTCAGGTTCCCGCAAAACACGGAGAAAGCCACCCGCAAATGCTACACTCTGAATGAAGACTGAGTAAAGCCTGATTCGCATGGTGCGATTTTTCTTACTATTTCGCAGCTGCGACATTCAACACCGCAACCTCCATTCCGCTTTTTTTTTTTTTTTTTGCCACACGAGCGACGTCGCAATTACAAAATCGCAAGTAAAATCGCACCATGTAAATCAGGCTTCAGTGAAACGACCCGCTGATCGTGTTTTTCTGGCCTAGTCGTACCTTGAGCTAGGTTATTCACTGGGACCTTGGTATTGTTCTCCGTGATTGGCTCGCTTGTGTTCGACTTTTTTTTAAGAAAAAAGTTAATTATTTATGGCATAATATATATATGTTTTTTTTTTAGGAGGGCTTTGTAAGAGTTAATTTGCGCCATAAACAATACTCTTAGAGTGTACACGGGCTTCAAAAATGCGAACAATCAGGCGGGGGAAGCTTAGCATGGAGGGCATAGTTCCTCGAGAAAGCGGTTACGGGATCAACGCACTTCGGCCTTAAACCCTTCAGCAAGTCGGCAATCTTTATTACCGTTTTTTTTTTTTCATTTGTTTTTTTTACACACTTGTTAAAAAAAAAAAACAAAAAAAAAAACGTGAAAGATACTCTAATGCGGTTTGTGCAAGTGTTTTATACGCCCAGGGGGACATTATGGGGGTGGCTAATCTTTGCAATAAGTCGGCTAATTAATTAAAATGTGTTAATTAACTTTTTAATTAGTGGAAATAGACATATGGTTCCAATTAGAAACTTGCTAATATCATTCAAAACCCCTAAGGGCCGGTTGCACCAACGCCGCTTACCTTAACCCAAAGCGGCACTTTCCTAAGCCGGCTTAGCGCCCTAAACCGAGCTTAGGTAAGCACGGGTTTAAATTCCGGTTGCACCAACGTAAAGCCGGCTTTACAGACGCGCCCCTAGCTAAACGGTGGATTTGCGTAGGGAATCTAGGGACAAACAGAGCAAACTAGGGAACGCTCAGAGCGACGAATACGATTGGCGGAGAGGAATCACGTGATGTAAACAAAAAAAAGAAAAAAGAAAAACTGCCGTAGTAGTCGTGTCGGCGTCTGCTTTTCGCAGTATTCCTTCGGTGAGTAACAAATTAAAGGTCTCCAAATTCAATCATTTTTTTGTTTAACTTTCAATAACAGAGGTCAAAGCTTCAAATAAACACGAATGCTCTTTACATCTTTGATTGTGTGTTTTAAGGGCAACTCCGGCCAAAACTCAAAATTAATTAAATTACTGGTATCGCTTTAGTGACACAAAATACGACCCCAGCCAAAATTTCACGTCCGTGGGACGCCGCATTCTCAACCAATGCCGATAATAAAAACGCGACCCGCCGCGAGCCGCTGCTCCTTAGCGGGGGGCCAGCGGGTTGCCGATCGCTAAAGCAACATTGGGCCGTGATGTCAACATCGTCCTCTTTTTTTTCCTCCGTTCCGGACGGGAGCACGGCGCAGCCGTCGCGCGCGCTTCTTTGTGCCGCTACCACCGCTACTTCGGCTTGTAATTGCGTGTTTAGCCGTTGCTTTTACCTGTAGCCCGTGTAGCTTCGGTATAGCCTTTTGTTTATTTGCTTGTGAGGTCTCCTAGACTCGTTTTAGCGAGCAACTCGGTGCGCCCAAGACTGCCCAGCTGTTCCTCGAAAGATGCCGAGTACAACTTATAGCGCTGTGGGCTGCTCAAACAAGCCGCTGCGCAACCCGAAGGTGCTTTTTCACAAGTTTCCAATGGATCGGAAATTGGAAAAGGTGTGAGTGAACGCTGTTCGACGAGTGGACTATGGAAAGCGTTGGACGTCGACCCCCAGATCGAAGCTCTGCTCCGATCATTTTTCGCCGGAGAGTTACGAACGAAACCTACGGTGTTGGTTGCTTGTGGCTTGTCAGGGAAGGGGTCGAGGCTTAAAAAGGATGCCGTGCCGTCGCTCTTTGCCCATCATACATGTACAGAAAAGGTAAACATGATAAAAGTATCCTGATCAATAAATAAAACAGTCATCGTCAAGTGCAGTGTTGAAGATTGAGCATTCATGCTCCATTGAATGTCTGTTGAATGGGGAATGGTGGGCATGTAGAGTACAACCACTAACTAGCTCCAAACACTGAAGTTTGTAATGAAAACGAAAACAATGTTCTGCTTTGCGTCACTGCTTGTTTACTACGCAATCTCGTGCGTAGTATTCAGGTCCGTAACGACTACTAGCGAACAGCCGGCGCGTGAAGCTCATGCGATATAAACATTCGCCTCCCAATCGTTCCAACCCGTTACGCAGCCGTATTAATTAACATTGCGCTTGTGAATACCACAAGGGACTTTAAAGAGATCGCGAAAGTTCGGATTTGTAAGTTACAACTCTCTAATAGACCATTTGCAGTCTCTCCCAAGCGCCCCGGCGCGCGCGCGAGGAATCTTGGGATCGGTGTTCTGTCGGCCCCCGTCGTCTGGCTGCTCTCCGTTGGAATCGCATCACCTCGCCCTAGACATACTTTTCATCTTCGTTGTTTATACTTAATAATCCTCTTTTTTATCTACTCCAGTGTATTTTTCTTGTTCATAAGTGTATCTATTTCGTTCAGCGCTTTGTATTTCTTCTGTATATTACGTGTTTTTGTGCATATTCCATCGTTTTCGACGCGGCCGTCGACGGACACCACGCCGCTTCGTTCGCCGCTCCCGGGGTGAGTACTGACTGTTGCCGTTACGCTCTATCCCGCTCCTAGGCCGTTCATTTAACTCGTGTGCGGTCGCGAGAGAGCAGTTTCGAACATCACTACAAATGTCACCGCTGTAAGCAGAGAAATAAAGTAGTCATCACGAAGCGAAGGCCGACATGCCTTCGCTTCGTGATGCGCTCGCCCTGTGAAATGTGAGCGTGGGATATCGAGTACTGCTTGCGTGCTCAACATTCGGGACGGTGCTTTGTCGTTGCGATCTTTTTGCCCTTCGGACGCTTGCGAAGCTGTACCAGCGGTCGGCGTGCCTCGGCAGCGCTCGTCAACAACCGTCCGCGCAGCATCACATCCTTCGCGTTCGGTTCTTCGTCGCGGCGGGAGAAGGGGTTCTGACTGCGTTTTATGCATAGTATGGGGGAGATTCCATTGTTTATCGAAATTACAGTTCAGCTAGCGCGCTCACTGTGGTGAGGCAAGATTGCCCCTGCGAACCGCGCTAACACAGCGTCCCGCGAGTGCATATCTTTATTGATCATCCCGTTTTCACGCAAGCGCGTGCATATGAAATGCTAGACACTTTTTAGTGGCTCTGCGAACTGCTTCTTTTGGACGAACACTGACGCATTGAAAGCTGGAGTGTCTTTGCCACTCCTGTACAACACTTCACGGTCGTGCCAGCAGCTTTATGCTGCTGGCACGAAACGGATTATGGTCAAAACGCGTTCTTCGTATTCAGAGCTGCACTATATCATGGACACTGACAGGGCAGCAGCAACAAGCAGCTCAGTGACACTGGAGATGCTTGTCCCCAATGCCAGTGCGTGGCTTGCTTTCAGAATGCTCCTTCGACTGTGTAATGTTCGAAAGTGCACAAGAAGTTGTAGATTACAAAAGCTGGCATGTTTGCCTAATAGCAAACGCTCTTTTTTTAGCACAAAGTTTACAGCAGGCTTTTTTTGAGGGGTTGTTACCCTAGATGAACTCTTACTTCGCAAGTTTAGGTTAATTCTGTCAAAACAACACCAAACCCATTAAAAAACTGTGTTGGTCAAATTTCCGTCCTCCTTTTAAAACGCTGACTGAGCTGCCTTTTTTTCAGGGAAGGCTATGGCGACACGGGATGTACCAGAGCCGCAAGAGCTACCACTTCCAGCAGGACCTTGGACCAAGCAGCTGAAGGACTTTCCTTCCGCATTCTCGGAAAGCCACATCCAAGGGCATGGCCAAGCAGCTGGAGCACAGAAGCACACAAGTTCTGGCTACAAAATGTTCAAGGCCCACAAAGTGCAGAACATCTTCCTCCACACCACAAGTGCATCAGAGACAATTGTCAAGGCTAACGTGGAGGCTTCCATGACCCTTACGAAGCGATACGCAGTGCATGCTGTGCTCTGCCAAGATGGGCAGGTCAGCAAGGCTTCCTGTTCCTGCAAGGCTGGACAAGGCGGTGTGTGCAAGCATGTGGCAGCACTGCTTTGGCACATGCTAGACCTGATAAGGGAGGGAAGGTCCTACATCCCGGATGCTCTGGCCTGCACTGAGGGAGCAAGGCAGTGGGGCCCATCTTCAAAGAGAGGTGCAAGTACGGTGTCGTTCAACGAACTAGAATTCGTCAAGCACGACTCTAGCAACAAGGCGAAGAGTGCGAGAAAAACCACGGAAGTGCATGTGGACGTGGCGCAGGCAACCGTCAAGAGGCTGCATACAGATTTCATTGAGAAGGGAATATTCCCAATGTTTGCGGACGTGATGGAAGAAGCTGCCTTCACACCCTTGCCAAGGAAGGTTCAGGAGCACTCGAACACGGATGATGGGGCCTCTGCAGCACGGATCAGCTTGCCCATAAAAGAGTGCTGGAATCACCAGATGCCACCAAGCGATCCATGCACCCTGACTCTTACACAAGCTCAGCACCTGGAGGAACAGACACGTGGCCAAAGCAGAAGTATGCTGTGGCACACGGAACGTGAGAAAAGGATCACGGCATCACAGTTCGGAGACATCGTCAAACGACAAGCACCCGTGAACGAAAAGTTTCTCAGGACGATTTTCTCGGGCGGACATGGCACGACACGTCACATGAGGGCGGGACTTCAGAATGAGGCGGCTGCTCTGAAGCGCTACAAGGCCAAGCAAAAGGTCCAAGTCTTCAGTGTTGGC